GAGACGTTTTAGAGAAGGCTACCCAAAAGTCTTCCTACCCTAATCTCAAAAACTGTCATCAACCAGGGGTGGGCCAAGATATCCGAAGATTTCACTGTTAAGAGTTGTATAGCTTTTTAAATAGAGTTGAGATGAGAAAATGATAAAAGCTACATTAAATAAATTATTCATTTTGATATATGTCCTATGAGTTTTATTAGTATTACCAAGATAGTATCTGAGTTGTATTAGTATAATTTTAACTTACTAGGCCTATATATGGTAAATGACTTTCGAAGATCGTAGCAGGTTTTCAAGATTTGCGTCCCCCACTCCGTATATTTGACGCTGGTGTAATTGTTCCACACAGAATAATAACCTATACGCTAAGGCGTTAAAAAAAAATAACAACAAAAAAAGAAACATTTGAATATTAGATCATTGCAAAAGTTCGTTCCCGATTAGAAAATTTAAGACAAAATTTTGCATTCTCACAAAAAGTATTTATTAGTCAAATACATAGTCTCCATTTTTAAAAAATTGTCTCCCGTCATCCTACAAGCTTGTTGATGCCATGTGTGTCTTTGTTAGAAGAAGATTGTGGGGTAGTTTTCGACTGACGGTGCAAATGTTTTGTCATTTAAATAGTTCTGTAGAAACTGGAACAATTGAAAATACGAAGGAACAAAATCAGGCGAATAAGGTGGGCGTTGTAAGGTTTGCCATTTCAACTCTTTAAGTTTCTTCAAGGTCTATTTTGCAACATGACATCTTGCGTTGCCGTTATGCAAAATGACTTTTACGATTTGTCAAAATCAGCCGTTTTTCTTAAATCCAAGCCTCTTCAAATGACAAAAGTCAATTGAGATATCGATTTTCAAACTTTTAGTAATCCCTTCCGTCAAAATATTCAGTTTATTCTCCATGATTGCAAGTCCAGTGTCTTTATCGACGTCAGAGGTCGTGCTGAGCGTGGTTGATCGTTTAGGCTAAAATCACCCTGACGAAATCTGTCAAAACACTTTTTTCTTTCCATTGTCTCTAAAGGTTCGTCATTGTGCACATGTTTAGTCCAAGGTATTCTCAGAATCCTTCTGTAGAATCACATTTCTGCTGCTTCAAATATCATCTTCATTCACTGCCTTATAGGAGGACTGATATTACAAGACAAGTCAGTACTCTTTATGTTTCTAACGAAAATAGTGTATTTCTTAAAACTTTACTTAAATTTCAGAAGGCATTTTTCTCTATCCCAATGCGCCTTTAGATTTCACCATCGCACTTTTTTTTATTTTCTGTTACAATGCTTATCAGTTAAATTGTTATAATTGTTTGACTTCGATATCTCCAATTCGTAATTTGCATGTTGGGCTGTTCCTTTAAAAAAAAAAGGCCATTCGACAACAGAAACGGTTAGAAATATTCGTTCTATATTATGCTTTAAGTCCCTACATATGTTGAGAGTCTTTTGGATATTTTCGATTGGGAAATATTTTCTTGAATCAGGGAGACCATGATATGTTCATATTGAATTCATACAAGTAGTAGTTGGAAAGAATCCTAAGTAAACTGCACAAGTTAGATAAAAAGGAAACGTCGTATAACATTTGGCTACGTCTGGCTATGTGACGGTTCTGTGTAGGATACAAGTTCAGTTCCTGTCGGAGGACACATATTTTCTATGAAATTTCCCGGACATTCAGGTCGGTAAATGTTGTTATTTTATTAAACTTTATTTTCAAAACGTTTTCATATTACTATATATTAATCACTCTAGTTGACATTTTTTCAAATATTTTTTTTACAAAATTAATAGGCTGGCCCTGTTTGCTATGTAAATTCATCTTAAATTAATCTACCCCTAGTGAAGCACCCAAAATATGCTACACGTGCTTGAGTATACCTATCTGATATTTAAACATTAAAATTGTTGCCTACCGGCACTTTATAAAGTGTATTGGAGTTTCGACATGGTAAGTGTCAGCATCCTCATTATGTACGAGAAATCACTTTTTAGTTTGCTCAGCTCCGAAGGGGTTACAGCGAAGTCAATCTCAATTATCCTTAATACGTTCCAGTATTTCAAAGCCCATAACTGCTGACTTTGTTTTCGAATTCGAAACGTTAACAAATTAGCTCCAAACAAATTAATGTATAGTAATTAGACATTATTACTTATTGCTATAAATATTATATTTAGTGGATACGCTAGTTTGCGTAGACGTCACTGATTTTAAACAGTACAAATGTTTTCTACTAGTTGAGATTTTCTAGTTTTAAATGAGGAGAAAATCTAAATACCCCTTTCATATATATATATATATATATATATATATATATATATATATATATATATATATATATATATGGCGCGATGAGTAAATTGTCGTCATTTTATATTTTAATTTCGCGCTTGCGCGTTGTTTGCTTGTGGTTTTATCAACTGCACAGCATGGTAATGTCAATTGGGGACTGTCTGTGACGCAATTCATTCAACCAGAAATTTAGAAACGGCTTATTTTACTGCTTGGCATTTGCGCCGGAATCTCCAATACGAATATTTTGGAGTATTTGGGTGTCAAACTGAGGACAGTACAGAGGATTCGGAAAGATATATATGCAGTCAACATCATGATGTTTGGAGTGGTCACTAATGATGCCTGCATTCATCTTCCCACATGGCCTCAGATTCAACACGGAGGCTTACATCAAGTGTATTGCGGAGGTAGTGCGTAAGGAGGATGGCTGCAGGATGAATCTATATCTGGCAACAGAACACTACACAATACTACAGAAGCAGGAGGACTCAGTCATGGCAGCAAGACAATTTCTGCGACCGCATCACACCTTACATCTGGCAACCTAACTTTTCGATTTTAAGTAACGTTATCGTTAAAGCTATGTTTTTCGTCCGATTTTTGGTTTGATTTTTATAGTCTAACTAATATTTTAGTCATAATCGTTTATTTATTTGATTTTGTTCTTTACTAATTTATTTATTCTACTGAAAAATCGAAAACCGAAAAGAGTAAATGAAATATACAGTATAATAAATAATAAAAAAATAAATAAAATAAATTAATCTAAATTAAACTCAAATAAATAAATAAACAAACTGACGCCGATAAATTAACCGTTAGAAAAAACATGTGAAGATAATCAATCAAAATATATAAATGAAGTAATAAACAAATTAAAAACTGCTCCCGCCAAAATAATAGTTAGAATAAACTACAACAATCAACCCCAAAATTGAATGAATAGTTTTAATTATCTTCCCAAACCAAGACAAAACTATTAAATAAGCAATATATACAAATTTTTGCTACGTTTACCGATTAGAATAAAAATAAATATATATGATAAGAAATAAAAATAAAAATAAAAATAAAAAAATAAATAAAAACAAGCATAATAATTTAGCTCAAATAAATAAACGACTTCCGACAAAATAAACGCCAAAATAGACTATCCACAATGTACAACTGACCCGTATAAGTGGTGTCATCAATATTCACTTTTATATTTACACACGCTCTATCTCTAATATTGAGCAATTTATTCCATAAATATAGCACAACTTCTTCATATATATATATATATATATATATATATATATATATATATATCAGGTATAGCAGGATAAGCGAGACATCATGGCATAGCCACATGTCTCTACATCTCATTTTAACTTATGAATATTATAGAATTGTGAAACTGGTATAGTTACAGTAAACAAATTTACTTACAGACTCCCGTTTCATTTTCAACTTATTTTTCATATATATATATATATATATATATATATATATATATATATATATATATATATATATATATATATATATATTAATGTATATTTGAGCATCAGCCTTTCTTTTAAACATTTTTCCTTAAAAATGACGGACTAGGAAAATTTTATTAACTTTTTATTTGTTTTTTTTTCCAGCGTCCCTACATTTTTCCCGTTTGCTAGATGTGAAGGATTAATTGTTTTTCATTTTCTGTAATATTTTATAACTTTTACATATTGGGGGGTGAATTATAACGAAAATATGATGTAATTTCCGAAAAACATGTAAGTTATATTGCAAAACATGGAAAACCGCACTTACTCCCTCACTCCCACCAGACGAAAAAAATGCAAGAACATTGGAAGAACTAAATAAAAAATTAATAACAGTTTCCTTGTCCGTCATATATATATATATATATATATATATATATATATATATATATATATATATATATATATGTGTGTGTGTGTGTGTGCTCTAAAAGGTCTTTTTTATTTTGAAAAAATCATGCTGCTGAATGGAATTAATGGACAAAAAAGAACTAGATAAGAAGACCTAATTTCCAAACCAATAAATGGCTTATTCTATTATTAGATTATATTTGACTTCACAGTCACGCTAGGAATATATTTAGACATATTTAGGAAATAGACATGGGCAGGTTGAAATTAACAGGTATAGAGATGAATAAAAGCACAGAGACAGCCAGCCAGCCAGACATGATGAGAAAGAGAAAGTCTGGGGAAGTACGTGACAGAGAGAGAGAGAGAGAGAGAGAGAGAGAGAGAGAGAAGGGTTGTATAGGTTTAACTATAATGAAACCTTAAGAGAAAAAGAGTCTAAATGAGTTACAAGAGACAAGAAACACATTAAGTTTCCTCCTTTCATTGTCACTCTAGATATCGTATCAATAAGAGACGTCATGGCTTGGGTTTTATAATTAAAAAAAAAGGTCGCAAGCTTGACGCAGTTTTCGTGTTTCAAGTAGGGACATGTTACTCGTATTCCATTATTCATAGATTGAAATCTTATTATGATAAACTTGATGAACGTGACTATTTTTTTGTTTAGCAGCATATCTAATTATATTAATTATTTAGAGAACTACACGTCTATATATTGTTATATTTTCTCTCAAAATATGCAATTAAACATTTTTATATACGCACACATTTATCCAGGTATTTAGAAACGTTAGCTTAGTCTGAAACAAGGCTATATAATATGAGCGATAGGTGGAGGAAGATTGTGATGCTCTATAACCGAATCGCTTTCAAAATGGCGGCATTCACCAATTCTTGATTTCGAATCGACCATATCCATAGAAAAATACGCAACTATTTCAGCTGCTATGCAGGTTAGACATACATATTTAATGGAGTTTCTGTTTGCAGAATATATGATTACAAATGTTGTGCACAACGAAAGACATACATTAACCTTTTTCAAACCCAGTTTCAGGATATTCTGTTAATTCGCCTGGCTAATACGGAGTTGAATCATCCTGATTCCCTCCGTATTCTAATGGTAAGGAGGAAGTTCCGATCAAGCACCCCCCCAAAAAAAAAACAAATTTTCCAGTCAGTATTTAACTGTTCTCCATATGTTTATAATCTTAACTTCCTACTATCTACTCTTATATTGAAATCACACACCTCATTTAGTAACTCTATTTTGAGTGGCTCTTCAGCTTTGTGAACGTTAGCATTTTGAAGTTACTCATATCAGAAGACATTTGCGTATTTTTTTTACATATTGCAGTAAATATATTTAGTGTATATAAAGCATATATTTATCAGTATATCTCTAAAGAAAAATCCAATGGCCTAACGAAGAGAATATAAAATCTATCTATCTTTCTATCATCTATCTATCTATCTATCTATCTATCTTAGTTTGTTCATTTATCTATCTATATATCTTTGTTCATGTATCTATCTAGCTGCATCATATCTGTCTTTAAAGTTATAAGTCAAAGGGTTGCTCAGAGCAATATACTGCTGTGAGCAACGCATTTATATATAAAGAAATGGATATGTTATAAACAAAGTTTTCTTTTGCTTTTAAGATAAATGTATTTTGCTTTATTTTCCAAGATTGTTAATACATTTTCATCGCAGCTGGAAACAAAAATACGCAGCATATATTCAGCAAATCATTCTTAAAGACAAATGCAGAAATGTTTATTTGCACAAAATATACGCCTTTTTTACGTTTGCACACAAAATGAAACTGTCATGTAGTGAAACCATATTTTTTCTACAAAGAAGCTAAGTTTTCTCTTATTTTTCTACTACGTCACGAACTGTTATATGTTATGAATTTCATATTATACAATCTTGGAAAAGTATTTTCAAAAGTAACTTGTCCTGTAGTCGTATGTCAAAATTGTATTAAAATTCAGGATTTTGTCAAGATTAACAAGTCCAGCATTTCCATGTCAAGAACAGCGCACCTAATTATTTTCATGTAAAGAATAGCAAACCCTTGACAAAATAATGTTCTATTTATTAAAAGCAATGTTGGAAATATAACTGAACTCGTTTATTGATAAATGAACAATTAAAATAACATATTCACTTTCCATGAAAAACATATTAAAACAAAAAACAAACTTAGTTATTGAAAGGATATTGAATGGTAATTACATTACAGAACCCCAAAGCCTGTTAACCGTATTTCGTTTCATCCACATGAACTGATTTAAATAACCTGGTAGAAAATTGCGCCTGCATCCTTGCATGGTCTTAATTTTAGCCTTACGCTTACCCAGTATGATTCTGCATTTTGTCCAATTCATAAATGTATTACATGATTCACATTTCATTTTGTTCTTCATCTGTACAATCACTGGTAAGCTATCCACCCCAAGTAATAACTTCATAACCTCCCCGAACGGAGATCTGCCTATCTTGAGATTTCTGAATATCTGAATTAATAAATTAAAACCATTACATGAAAATAGCTATTGAACCTTAAAGTATCTTGCACCAAAATGTTCATGTCTAAAACAGCAAACCAGATTATTCTCATGTAAAGAATAACGAATCCAATTATTTTCTTGTAAAGAATAGCAAACCGTGTCGTGAGTGGATTCGCTAATCTTAACAGGATTCAAAATTCACTTCCTAACGTCACAATGTTTTTATATTGTTTGTAAATACGTATTTTTCCTGTTTCGTTTATTTAATTAGTCCCAGCGAGTTCAGGTTATTTTAATTTTATTCCACTTTTATCGACTGTAAAACCAAGGAAGATTATTTAAAAATAATTTCATGCTTAGAATATAGCTACAACATATAGTCCGGGGCCTTTGCAATTTACTTTGAGTTCCTTAATTAAATCCAAAGAAATGTGACACTATTTAGCGTAAGCGTGAAAATTAAAAGAGAGAAATAATTAAGGCGAGAAGAAGCTATCACGAAAGACATACTGAACGATGTTATTTTTTTAACAAAGAAAAGTGGTAAAGATTTTATTTTCATTTGCGAAAAAAAAGTATATTTTTTTTCGTGGAAGATAGGAAATTCGTAAGATCTCGGATCTGTCGGAATTAATTTATGCTATGATGCGGCGAATAAAAGATAGCAATCTGCCCATGGCATTAATGAAAATTTCAAATTGTCAAGTGGCTTACAAAACAGTGCTGGAAGATAATCGTAATCAGGTCGAAGATGCGACCGAGAAAAAAAGATCAGCTGAGGCCACCCCAGAGAAAAAGGAAGGGAGAGAAAGGAAAAGAATAAAGCATTAACTATCTTTCGGAGATATCATTTGGTTTTGGAGAGACACCTGTTTTATATCCAGACCTGGACATGATAAAAGTTTGTTGCCGGGACAGATTGCTGGCGACAGGGTGCGAAGACGTCCAGTTGACCACCCATTTGACGCTTGGCGAAAATCTCGTTGATAAATTCCAGATGACATTCGGTTAAGATAGAGATTAAGGGACACACTACGAGTCGTAGGGGTCTTGTCGAGGAAAAAAAAAGCAAAGAAAAAAGGAAGATAATTTTTTTTTCCTTTGAGCGATAATTTTAAACTGAGGCCAGAATTGCCACACCCACGCTGCCGAGCGTTCATTGGCTGAGTGGTGGCGGGAGTGGTGGGCGAAGGTAAACATATGAGAAGGAGGGGAGGCCTGTTGACGCCTCTGAGGGGATTGGTGTGAGATAACACTATGAGAAAGAATGGAACCCTGTTGACGCCTCTGAGGGGATTGGTGTGAGATACAAATATGAGAAAGGAAGAATTTGGGAGGACGATTCCCTTAAGAACCCCTCTAAAGTAGAAAGTAATTGACTTCCAAAAATGGAAAGTGATAAATTTTCCTGTCCGAAAACAAAGAAAATCCTTATTGTGGATTTAGAATTATCGAGGAACCCAAACCACGACAGGTCCACACCCGGTTTTGGTCGGCGTCCATATAAACGGAGTAGACAGTGGCAGGTGGGCAGAGTTCCGAGGAGACGCAGACGCAGACAGAGTTGAGCTGTGAGCTCTGAAACCAGCCTCGCAGGAAGCTGACTGAAAGATCCCACGCATTCCGACTTAGACTTCTAACCAAAAACAATTTATTTTTGAAGAACGACTCACATCACCAAAACAAGTTTTACGAATATCGCCTGAAGATAGAAAAAAAAAGCAGTTTTTGAAAAACAACTTAAGATATTAAGACTCGCCTAACAAACACAAAGTGTCACGAATCCATAGAAGCGGTTTGGGAGGAAGATGCAGTCCTGTATTCAGCAACCAGTTATAAAAATATTTGTTATACTTTTTTAACACCTTTGAACCTTTCGAGTTGTTAATTTTCTTTTACATATACTTGTGCAATGTCACCTTTGCTCGAATTCGGCTTGCATTACGGCCCGGCGACTGATTGATTTCGTCTGCCTAAGATCAAATCACAACGTGGGTAGGTTAGACTAGAAATCAAAGCAGTTACTTCGGTAACCAGACGTTGGAGGCGAGCTGGGAACGACAAAGCTGATACCGAATCTAACCAGGTTCCCATCCGAATCAGCCAAGGGTTAGAACGTCACAATTGGCGCCGCGACCAATACCAAGTCATATTGGTCGTCACAGGATAGCACGGGGGCAGAGAGGCCGGGGTGACGTCACAGAAGAATCAATAATATTATTGGTCCTGATGTAGCGGTACGGCTTTAGTCCCTTTCCCACTGATATAATGTTATCTCTCTGGGTCATTTCTATAAATAATTTCATGGTAATTGTATGGGTGAGCGCTTTGCTATGATAACTAGGCTTTTTTTTAAAATTAAGCGTAGTATTAGACTGGTGTCGAGATCCAGTTGAGCTGGTTAGATGCAACCGTAAATTCTATGCTAACAGTTTCATTTCTCACAATTCTCGCCTATGGGACTCCATTCGAGTTCCATGCTTTCCAGCCAACTTTATTCTGCAAAAAATATTGCAATGTCAATCGTTGTCTACTGTCCACCTGATTACTCTTTTCTCATCCCGCTCATTATTAATGTTTCTGTTTTCCTTCTACACCCTGTAACCCCTTGTGTCTTAGTGGCTTGGGGTGATACCGAGTAAAAAAATTGAACATATACCGCGAAAACAATTTGATTCTTGGTGAAAATTAATGCAAGCTACTCACCAGATGCACACACAAACGCACGCATATACACACCTCAGTCACAGCAATAAGAGACTTCTGTCTGAATTTGGGAGTTGAATTATTAGACACGGATTTAATCCAACTCATTTTTTATTTGATTGGTATTGTCATATTTCAGTTGTTGTCGTTTTCTTTAGACGTCTGTCCTAAAGCTTTCTGGAAATTTCGACCTGAAAACTTTATTAAATTTTCCGATATAGAATATTCTCTTTATCGTCGGCTCCCTGCACCACAGCAGTAAGTACCTGACTCTTCCTGCTCTTCTCTACCTTTACAAGAGACAGATCAGGCTGAAAATGGAGTACTGTTGTCATATCTGGGCGAGATCTACTCATACATCATAATCCAGCCTCGATAGAGTCCAAAAGCGTCTCCGAGTCCTTGTAGGTAGTGATTTATTCTCCACCCTTTTAACCCCTCTCCCACAGACTGGATGGAGACAGTCTCTCACTGCGTTATTGCTCGAACAAACTACATTCCCTGATCCTGCCAGTTCAAACCTTCAGGGCTAGGACCAGCCATGCCACTTCCATAGTAGCAAACCGTCCACATTCCCTCCGTATTCCAACAGTGAAAAGTAAGTTCCACAAAATCAGCTTCTTTCTGCGAGCCCATACTCTGTGGAACCGACTACAGAGGGGATGTTACTACGTTCAATGGGTTTACTCGTTTTCTCCCCGTCCTATCCGCACAAATTGCCTTCTAACATAACCTTCTACCTCGAGTGGCTTCTGGACTTTTTACAGGGCGAACCTTACTGTAAAAATCTCATATCAGTTATTTTTCTAACTTGTTTTGCTCTTGTGATATGTCTTCTGCTCATTCCATTGAATAAGAGCATGAAATTTTATTTTATATGACCACTAGACTACCAATAGATAAATTTAAAATTCAACAGGATAAGTGTATGATGGTCACACGTTCTATACAAACATATTCACGGGTTTCAAAGAAAGAAACTGAAATATACGTGTATAGTTAAATATCATGCAAATATATTGATAACAAAGAAAAGATTGAAAAAGGAATAAGTACAAAAAAGCATTATAAGCTGTTACCATGAAAATATATTACAAAGTTTTTAAATTTTCATTTTTCCTGCTGTTCGTATTCGAGTATTTTATACGAACAGCAGCAAATAAAGGAAAAGTGAAAATTTAAAAATGCCTTGAAAAAAAAACAAACAAAAAAACCCCAAAAAACACGTGACCTTCGTTCTATGTATCTCTTATACACTGTTTGTT